AGCGAGAGCGGAAAAGCCAAAAGAGGAAGCGAGCCGTTAGCCGCGCGCTCCCCCGGATGCTGCGCGCTCCGCGTGACGCGCGCCGTGCGCAGAGCTGCGGCGCCCGCGTGGGATGTTCCCCGGGCCCTTGGCACGCAGGGCCGTGGGGGAATCAGTGCTGCTCCACTTGGTGGCTGTACGGGGGAGACGAGGGCGCCAGGGCCGGCTTGGCCGCGCTGCTCCTCCCCGGCGCGCTCCCTGCCTTAAAGGCGCACGTGGGAGTGCGCTCTGGCCGGCCTGAGATTAAAAAATTCAGAGCTATCAAGACGCACAAGTGTAACGGTGCTGGTGTGCGGTCGGGTAGAGAGGTATCCTGGTCCCTAATGATGGGGGTGCCTGACAGAGGCAGCGTCAAAGCGCGCTCGCTGGCTGCACTCCAGGTCTGCACTGGGCTCGTGCTCGCTGGAGTCTTTTTGGGGAGGCAGGTAGCAGCTCCCTGGGGATTTCTGGACATCTCACGGAGCGCGCGGGCCCTGTGACTCATTTCTGGGCACCGTGAGGCTGGTTTCGGTGGCTAAGGAGCTTCCCCGTCACCAGCAGAGAAGGCAAGATTAAAGAGTAAAAGGATTTAGCGGCCGGGATTGCAGTAATAGAGCTTAAGTCATGGATCAGGGCTGTGCTGGAGGCGCGCGCGGGCGGCACGCTCGGGCGCGCAGGCTGCGAGCGGCCGCCGCTCTCCTCCTGCGCTCGCCCTGGGGGGCGTCTTGCTCTGCCGAATGCCAAATTCACAGGACCCAGGCCCGAACGCCAAATGCACAGAGGGTTTTTGCTTTGCCTTGTGCATCGTGGGGATGTTTGGGGAGTTAGTACAGCAAGTGCACTGCAGCCGTATAGGAGCACGCGCTTGATGTTGCAATGGGAGAGCCCCGGGATGGCTCTCTGGTGGAACGCTGCGATGCTCCGGTGCCTGATCCGCACCGGCTTGGCCAGCGTGCGGGGAGCGCTCCGCTTTGACGCGCTCCTTGTGTCCTTGCAGAGCGCGGAGACCAGGAGGGGCAGCGGGATGGAGGCGCCTGGGACTGCGGA